AATAAATTTTTTGGATTCACAAGAACGAGTAAGTAATATTTTAAGCTTATACACTTAGAAGGACAAAATTCGAGGATGTTATCGAGTTTATATAAGTCCTTAACATATAATTTTTGCAAAAACAAATATTGCGAAATTTCAAGGATACAATTTTAAAAGGACATTTTCAAAACTTACCAGTCCTTATTCACCCAAAAATTGAATTGAATTTGATACCCATACTTCTCCTCCACATTTCACTGAATCTTTTCAATAATTTTTTATTACTGACATCAGAGTAAAAAACTAAAATCGCAATTTTACTATATTTGGCACATGGTTTCGCGAATATATTGATTTTTGAGTGTAAAATTTATTATCGCACGGTGTTATATGTATAATGAGCTAGACATTTATAAAATAATATTGATTACACTGGATCACAAATTTTAATTTTCATTTTGTTCTCCAGAGGCCACTATCCAATTTGTATGTAGAACCGCTCGCTGATTCCGAAAATCGAGTTAATTAATTTTTGAATGGATACGTTTTCGAGATATTTGCAATTTACCGTTATTCAGCTTAAAAAAAGGAATGGCTCCACTTAATCAAGTATATCTTACGCACCAATTAAATAATCGCAATGTGAGGTACAGTAAATGAAAGAAAGAAAAATTCTCTATAAACCGTATATACATCACTTTTCGATAGCCCTGATAGTTTCGCAGAAATTAAATAATCATTCCAGATTTTTTGTTTTTTTGATGGAAAAATGCAAAAAATTCAAATTTTAACAGGGAAAAAGGTCAAAAAATAACAGTTTCTGAGTAAATATTTTGTACTTGTGTTAAAGCCTGTTCCTTAAAAAAAACGAAGCTACTAATGAAGAAAATCGATAAACAAATAAGAAAATAATGATTGCTCAAATGAAAATGCGGAAGGATTTTTTGTATGAAATATGAGCAGAAAAGAGTGTTACTCATACGCCACGTACACCTGAGAAGTTAGAGTGTTTGCATCGAAAACAAGAGACGTCAGAAGTAATTAATTAATTTCTCAGAAACTAGCATGGCTATGGAAAAGTGATGTATATATGGTTTATGGAGAATTTTATTTGCTTTCATTTCCCTTTTCTCGTATTACGATTATTTTATTGGTATACGTGATTAAGTGAAATCACTATTTTTTAAAGCTGAATAACGGTAAATTGCAAATATCTCGAAAAGTTATCCATAGAAAAAAAATTATATCGATTTTCGGAATCACCGAGGAACTCTACATGGGAATTGGATAGTGGCATCTGGAGAACATTTTTGCTGTAAGCTAATGTTATTAAATAAAAAAAGAAATATAGCCAATACTGGTAAAGAAAAGGAGTTTCTATTATTGGCATCAGTACAAATTACAAATCCCAAAAATCCCGGGGTTATTTGGCATTCCTATACCCGATACACTAAACGCACTTTCTGGGTTCACTGAGGAAGGTGTCGGAATTCTTTGCGATTATGCTTCCACCAAATTAAAAGATCTTCGCGTCGGGGTATAAGGTAGCTGAAATATTTCTCCATTTTTAATCCATGTCTTTTTTCGTGTACGGTCGCTACCTTGTGTACTCGTCGTTTGCATATCAAAATCACTACAAAAACTGGAATCAGCATCAGAGCCGTTGGCGATTTCCTCGTAGCGTACGTCTTGATGTTGTTACACAAAGAGGAGGGACCTTTTTATGAGAAGCTGTTTTTCACGGCAGAAATACACTCGGAGGTTTCCCATTGCCCGCCGAGGGACGACCGCTGTTAAGAAAAAACCTTTTTTCTATGTTTTTTTTGCGATGTTGATTTTGACCAGGGCTTGAACTCAGGCCCTGCGGAGCGGAAGCGCGCACCGCTTAGCACGATTCCTCAAGCATTGCCATATATCCTGGTGAGCTCCCTCTTCAAAAGAAGCTTTACCCATGTTTTTAGCTGTATTCATGTCAGAAAAAACGACTTTTGAAACGTGGGTCACAAAATATCGCAACAACGGAATGATACGGGAAGCGGACGATATGTAAGCAGGCGTAATATCACGATTTTCATTAAATTTTTTAATAAAAATGCATCAACCACGCGTTTTTGCTTAGCGGAGTTCATTGTTCTTCATCTTTTGTCTTTGACATTTCTCCTCTTCTTCTTCTTATTTGGCGCTGTAACCGCCTAAGTAATTTTGGCCGAGTCCAAAAGAGCACGCCAGTCATTTCTCTTCTGTGCCAATTGGAAATGCCAAGTGAAGCCAAGTCCCTCTCGACTGTGGGGGCCTCCCTCTTCCTCTGCTACCACCAGCGGCTTCCGAGTTGAATACTTTCAGAACTCGAGCGTCAGAGTCCATTCGAACGACATGGCCAAGACAGCGGAGCCGCTGTATTTTAATTCGCTGAACTACGTCAATGTCGTTGTAAAGCTCATACAGCTCATCGTTCCATCGTCTGCGGTACTCGCCATCGCCAACGCGTAAAGGCCCGTATATCTTCAGCAAAATCTTTCTCTCGAATAATCCAAGAGGCGCCTCATCGGATGTTGTCATTGCCCATGCTTCGGCGCCATATACCAACACGGGCATGATGAGTGGCTTATTGCGTGTGGTTTTCGTACGTCGAGAGAGGACTTTACTCCTGAATTGCCTACTCAGTCCAAAGTAGCACTTGTTGGCAAGAGTGATTCTGCGTTGGATTTCCATGCTGACATTATTATCGGTGTTAATGCTGGTTACCAAGTAAACGAAATTCTCTACTTTCTCGAAATTATAACTGTCAACAGTGACGTGGGTGTCAAGACGCGAATGTGCTGACTGTTTGTTTGTTGACAGGAGATACTTCGTTTTGCCCTCGTTTACCACCAGACCCATTCGATTCGCTTCCTTATCCAACTTGGAAAAGGCAAAACAGACTTAGCGGTTCTTGTTACCGATGATGTTGATGTCATGGGCGCACGCTTTTCTAGAAAATTATTCCTGGGCGGTTTAGTTCTGCAGCTCTTATTGTCTTCTCCAACATCAGATTAAAGAAATCGCATGAACGAAAAATAACACGGGCTTGCAATATTTAAATTTTGTTTCTCCCTTCCAATAATTAGGTTATTTTTTGGATATCTAGGTATCTTAAATTAAAATAATTCTTTGATTTTTTTCTAGCATGTCGAGATTTTTTTTTATTGATGGCATATATATTTTAGGATTTTTAGCAATTTGCATGAAAAGCCAAAAATGTATTAATTTACAATTGAATTTTTACTTAAAAACAACAGCGCTAGTTAAAAAATACCCATAAATAGACTAATTTAATCAGAAAAACATAAGTAATTTCGAAACTATCGCTAGTAATGTGCGTTAACGCTAATGTCCGGTCAATTTAGACATTCGAGGTTACAAAAATTCCCACCCAGCTGAAAATTGGTAGGATTGTTCAAAACAACATTATAAATGAAATCTAAAAAGTCCTCATCGATCCGATACCTGGAAAAAAAGTTACTCGGGGTCAAAGGTCAAAACACCGGTTTTTCGCGATTTTTAGCAAAACGGTAAGTTTATCGTAAAATTAGTTTAGACAAAAATTGTAGATCAGATAATTATCTATAAAAAATGTCCAAATACTTTTGTAAGTAATAAGTAAGTAAGTAATGTAATCGGCATAATATGTATAAGTACAACAAAGGTGGCGTGTGCATATTATGACGATTACAACTCTTCCAACTTTTTGGTTCGTTATATCTCGGAAACGGTGCCTCTTAGGACAAAAAGTATTTGCAAATTTTTGATAGATAATTATCTGATATACAATTTTTGTCTAGACTAATTTTATGATAAACTTACCGTTTTGCTGAAAATCGCGAAAACCGCGTTTTTGTGACCTTTGGCCCTGAGTAACTTTTTTCCAGGTATCGGATCGATGAGGACTTTCTAGATTTCATTTATGATGGTGTTTTGAACAATCCTACCAATTTTCAGCTGGGTGGGAATTTTTGTAACTTCACTCCTATTTTTGGTCCAATTTGACCGGACTATAAGAAAATAACTTTTATCAAATTCCCTAACCGTTAATTTCGAAATTACAAAAGTTTTTCTAATTTACTTAGTCTATTTATTGGTATCTTTCACTAATACTGGTGGTTTTTAAGCAAAATTCAGTTCTAATTTTATTAATTTTTGGGTTTTCAGGCAAATTTTAAAAACCCTAAAATATATATGTCATTAATAAAAGAAATCTCGACGTGCTAGAAAAAAGCCAAATATGTATTTAAACTAGCAGACTCGGTGAACTTCGTCCCGCCCAAAATTAATTTTTTCTTAAAACATTTGGTCCAACGTTTTCGCCTGCAATTCACGTTCAAGTTTGGTTTTGTGGTCGACAGAAGGCATATCATCCATTGCCATCTTAAATAACCTGACGAAAGCTTTATACCGGGAAGGAGTCCTTGCGGTTCGCTGGCGAATCGTCCTTGAATCTGTATAGTATAGTATACTGCATACCCAAAATATGGTGCCATTTGATGCAAAATGCCTCTGCCCGGCTTGTTGATATCCTCGTAAGAACAAAAGCTGATATCACCGCCATACAAGAAATTCTTTTGCACGGGACCAGGCAAGCAATGTCTGGGGCCTTGCGACGTATACTACGGCTGCCATGTAAAGGAGCGCAAATTCGGTGTTGGATTTGTGGTGGGAGGGGGACTCCGTCGCCGAGTACTGTCGTTCACCCCGGTGGACGAGCGTCTAGCCATAATCCGCATCAAAGCGAGATTCTTCAACATCTCGCTCATCTGCGCCCGTGCCCCGACGGAAGAGAAGGATGAGGTATCCAAGGATCTCTTCTATGAGCGCTTGGAGCGCAAATCGTGCTTGGCGACTTCAATGCCAGGGTGGGCAAGGAAGGGATCTTTGGAACCACCGCCGGAAAATTCAGCCTCCCCGACGAAACGTCCGACAACGCCGACAACGGACTGAGGTTGATCGATTTCGCCGGGGCCCGAAACATGGTAGTACACAGAAAGAAAAAAGATAGGTTAATCTAACCGAAAAAGATTGTAAATAAACCATTTTTCTATTTTACATTGAAAACACAAACAACAAGTACAATTCAGGTTGTTAATATAATCGACGAAAAATTGTTATACGAATTTGGAAATTTTTAACCGCAAAAATAGTTAAACTAATCGTTAGAATTGTAGAACATAAATTTAACTACAAAAAATGGTATGGCCAACCTGCAAAATGGTAAAGTTACTATTCTTAACCACAAAAATAGTAAAACTAACCGGATAAAATTGTAACTCTACTATCTTGATTGTTAATCTAACTGAAAAGATAGTCTTCACGTAATTCTCTTCTCTCTTTCTTCCCTCTTCATGATGAGAATAACCACAAAAATAGTTAAACTAATCGTTAGAATTGTAGCACATAAATTTAACCACAAAAAATTGGTATGGCCAACCTGCAAAATGGTAAAGTTACTATTTTTAACCACAGAAATAGTAAAACTAACCGAATAAAATTGTAGCTCTACTATTTTGATTGTTAATCTAACCGAAAAGAGAGTTTATGCGATAAGAATAACGGCACTTTTGATGCTTTGCTTCTTCTTTTCTTCTTTCATATTCATTTGCAAACTTTTCATGGACGTTGTTATTTGCGTAGGTGCAGTGAAGTGAAATTAAATTAATTAATATATTAAAATTAAGTGTTGATGAATCTTAACAATAGTGAATTGTTTTCGCTAAATATTTTGCGTGCTGTGGAGGCGGATGATATGGATAATCCTGATCCAGAAGACACGGAATTTTGTAAATTGATTTTGGAGTGGGGATTTTCACATAAAATCGCTGAATTTAAAGGTAAGTTGCAAATACATTGTCATTGTTGTAGTTTTTAGTTAATTTAGTGAAATTCCAGCGCAAGCAATAACCTTGAAAAATTTGCAATATCTGACGGAGTCTGACCTTGCTGATTTGTTTAAAAACGACACCATTGGTGCTAGAGCGGAATTCCGCCATCAACTCATAACTTGGAGGAAAACAAACGTAAGTATTGTGAATCCCTCTGTGATCATTTCATGAAGAATCTTTTTTGTTGCAAAATTCCTTCAGGGGTATGGTAGCGTGTCGACGTGCGATACAGCGTCCGCCAATTCTGGTTTTGTTGACTTTGTGCAGCAGTGGCGACAGCGGATCAACAATGGCATCGAATCTCCTTCATGCTCACAAACATCCAGTTCATCTTCACATGACTTCGTAAGTTTATATATGAGGCACCTCACAAACCCAACAAAACATTAAACAAGTTTTAAAAACCTACAATTTTTAAGGATTTGCAGCAAGTGTTAAGTGCCCATCCAACTGGCGAGTATGTTCTGCGACTGGACAAACTAGATGACGCTGGGAGGAAGATCTTAATTGATGCCACTGTGTCGTGGTTTATTAAAAGAAAAATCAAAATATGCCGAAATACATTCCAATCTATTGCGCAAGATATTGCAAACAGGTTTAAAGATGACAAGGTAAATTATTTATTCATTACAAAACTATTTTCTAAATTTTCACCTATTTTCAGTCGATTTACTACCACAAAGATCCTATTACCTTGAGACCAGCAGGCCGCTTGTACGATAAATATTACAACACATTGAAGAGATTGAGGAAATCCGGTGAATTAGTGGACCCAGAAAGTTCAACTCCTGAGGCATCACCGACAGAAGAATATACATTTACTTTCGAGGATGAAAAATGTAACGCCACCACAATAGCTTTTGTTTTGTAATTATTTCATATTTTTTTATGCAGCTGCCTATGACTGGCTCAAACTTTTTGATTCGCCGTGGAGCACAGTTGAAGCAAATTGGAAAAAAACCTTCAAAATCAGACGACAAGAAATTTTGAACTCAAGTGGTAGCACATCAGCGAAAACTTTACGGGCCTGGAAACTTTTTTCCCATTCATGTGGATACAATCTGGTAAATGGATTTCTTAGTTTTACGTTTAAACTTGTCAGAATTGGTTGACTAGTTTGAATTTACAATCAAATGGGTCATATTAATAAAAAAAAATGATTTTTCTCAAATTTGACATCAATTTGTATGAAAAAACTTTCAAAATTTGAGAAAATATTTCGAAAAAGCATTTTCTTTTTTATTAAATGACCCAATAAATACAAAAACTTCCTCTTGAAATACTATCATATATGAAAGTAATGCGTCATATTAATAAAAAAAGCAATTGCTTTTTCAAAACCTTTTCTCAAATTTTGAAAGTTTCTTTATACAAATTGATGTCAAATTTGTGAAAATTTGAGAAAAAACAAAAACCTTTTTTAATCATATGACCCAATATTTAAAGGCACGGCTGCAAACCGGTTCTGAATCGGGTTTTGAACCGAACCACTGCTGTGAAACCCAATCAACTTTCATATAATAATAGATATGCAAGTTGGAAGTAGCTCAAAAATTTCCCTGAATTTTCCTTTTTTTGCTTAGAGGGTGTTGATCAATTTCTTCCATAAAATACAAAAAAATAAATATATACATTTTGCATTTCTCTTTCAAAAAAAATCGGAAAACTTAGAAAAATGTTTGAGCTAGCTCCAACCTTCACAATATTATTCTTTAGTCGGTTGGCTGTAAAAATGGTCGCTACAGAATTTAAAACTCAAAATTTAATAATGCTTTCCTTTATTGCAGATTGATATTGACTTCAATGCTCTACATCAGAATTGCTCACAGCTAACAGAGAAATGGCAAGGTTTTAGAACAAAAATTATACCAATTTTGAATAAGAGGGTAAAGGATATTCAAAATCTTCAGCACTTGAAAAAAGTTAATGAGATTGATAAAGGTTTGTTAACATTGGTAATAATAAGATTAAATGATTTTTATAATAAATATACTTTTATTAAAGGTTCAGATCAACTTATAGCATTGTTACTGCACGTTGTACTACGACCTAATATAAAGCGGAAGGCAGGTGACAAAACGATTTTTAGAAGTACTATCAAAGATTCTCAGCTCTCGTTTTTACTACAAGTTAGTACTGTGAACGATGTCGAAAATAAATTGGATAATCTGAAAAAATCACTCTATGCACGCGGTGAGACATTGCAACCACTAATTATCGCAATTGGCAGTGATTTAAGTAATTGCAAATTTTATGTTTACTATGACGACATTAAGTATGAGCTTCCTTCATTTTTAAGCGCTTTAGACATATGTTTTAAGACTTTCCATGTATTACATTTAAAATATCCACAGGATAGCATTGAGTTTTGGACGTTTGTCCAAAGATATTTTTATTCCATTGAATTGACTGAAGATAAAACTTCTCCAAATGTCCTTTGTTTGCTGAGGGACTTAATTTAATTTATTAAGTATAGATACGTAGTCACATAAATCTTAACACCTTCAATATTCAATAATTATTATTAAATATTATATATGTAATAGTTATTATTTTTTTGTTTAAAATGGTTTTGTGTTTTGTATGCAACAACAATTTTGAAGATGTTGATATACTCGTAAATCATCTAAAAAATTTTCACAATTTAACATCATCTAGTACTTTTTACTGTCTACATTGCTGTCATTATTATCAGTGCTTGCGAACTTTTAAAAGCCACTTTAAGAAAGCGAATTCATGCATTTCTAATATAATTCCAAATGTTCAGAGTCTTAGTGAATCCGAAAATAATAATTTTCCACCACAATTAAACCAACGGCAATGTAATCAAGAACGTCAAGAAATATACGAATTTTCTCATGCTGAGTTCGAAAATATTGCGCTACTATTTTTGAGTAAATTGCACAGTCAATCAAATTTCGCTCGATCTGATGCAGAACGACTAATTGATGATATAACAAATGATTTGCTTTTGCCAATAGCACACTTTTTAGAAAATATTATATTCGATTTTGCAGAACAAGAAAAAGTCCAACTCAGAAACTTAGTTTCGTTTTTAAGAGATCCCTTTTCAAAATGTAAAACATTTTACAAATTTTTAAAGGAACTCAAAATGAGAAAGTGCTTTGAAGACCCACAAGAATTCGACATTGATAATAGAATTGCGCCCGTAGTTCATCACCATGCAATTTCGTTAACAGAGCAACACAGTAAGGGTGTACTAATGCCATTACGATTTCAAATTAAACATTTCTTCGAACTTCCTAATGTATTAAAAGATACTTTGGAAAATACACAGAAATTCCTTGCAAATGATAATGAATTAAAAAACATTGTTAATGGAAAATTATGGAAATCTAAAATGAGTTTATTCAGCGATAAAACAGCAATTCCTTACGTTATTTATTTTGACGATTTTGAAATTAATAATCCTTTGGGTTCCCACAGAGGGACACAATCAATAGCTGCTTTTTATTACAGTTTCCCTACTTTGCCGCAGCACTACCAATCGCGACTAGAAAATATATTCCCTGCTCTTTTCTTCAGAAGTAAACATAAACAGTTTGGAAATGACGCATCATTGAAATTACTGGTAGAAAAAATTAAAAGTCTTGAAGAAGAGGGAATTGACATTAGCTTTGATAATACAACCAAAAAAATTTATTTTGTACTAGCACTAGTTGTGGGTGATAACTTAGGTTTAAATAGTATTCTCGGCTACACTAAAAGCTTTTCATCTAATTACTTTTGTCGATATTGTTTATGCAATAAAGAAGAAACTTCGTACATGGTCGAGGAAATAGAGAGCAAACTTCGGAATGAGTTAAACTATACAGAAAACCTTGCTACAGAAGATATACCAGAGAAGCGAATAAAGTTAACTGGTATATCTGAGAATTCCATTTTCAATGACATTAATTCATTTCATGTGGTAAATAATCTTACCGGGGATATTATGCATGATATTTTTGAAGGTGTTTGCCGATATGACGTTTCGAAAATATTACTCCATTTTATTGAATCCGAAAAATTGTTTACAATTGAAATTTTAAATGATCGAAAAAATCAATTTCAATACGGTGAAATTGAGTTAAGTAATAGATCTCCAGAAATTCAAATATCACATTTGAAATGTCAAAAACTTAATATGTCAGCACGAGAAATGTGGACATTTTGCCATTTTCTTCCAATAATAATTGGGGATTTAATACCACTACACAATAAACATTGGAAACTTTTTTGTACATTAATTGAAATTATAGACGAGATTTTAAAAACAGAGTTCGACGATGAGTCCCTTAATAAATTAAAGTTAAAAATTAAGAACCATCACACGATTTACGTACAACTATTTGGCCCGACGTTAAAACCGAAATTTCACTTTCTACTTCATTACGCTACAATCATAAAAAATGTAGGACCTCTTAAGCATGTATGGTGTTTTAGGTTCGAGTCCAAGCATAGAGAGATTAAATCGTATACCAATTGTATTACCTCTAGAAGGAATGCACCTTTGTCAATCGCTGTTAAATGTATGATAAAGTTTTCAAATCGGTTACTTTTGAATAAAGGATTAGATAGAAACTTATTTTTCGAAAACCAATCTAAAGAAAAATTTAAAAACAGATATTACAGTAAAAAAGTAAATATAAGTTCTTTTGAATGCGAAATATTAATAAATGAAAGCTACAATTTTATAACAAAAGTGGAAATAAAAGGTACTACTTATAAAATTGGATATTTCCTGATGTCAAAATCTTTGAAATTATTTGAAATCAAAGACATTATTGTACTTGAAAACAACAAAGTAATTTTCGTATGTGTTGAACACACAATTGCAATGTTTTCAGACCATTTTCAGTCATTTCCAATTATAAAAAGTACAGACCAATTTTATCTATTGGACTTTTCTGAATTATATTATTCACCTCTTAATACAACTCTTTCCCCTAATGGAATTACGTATATTCGTCCAAAGTTTTTTTGAAACTATACATGTATAAATTTTATATATATTTATATCTTTGTCTTAATTTACAATAGTAAAACACATAAAAATATGTACTTATTAAATTAAAAGTAATAAATAATAATAAATTTATTTAAAATCAATGTTTTTTTAATCACTTCTTTTTATTTTAGCAAAGTAACTATTAAAATGGTAAGTGGACAACTTTTGGAGGTAAAAAAATAGTAGTTTTACCATTTTTATAGTACAAAAACTATTTTCCATAGTAAACTAACTATTTTTCATGGTAATAAAACTATTTTCATGGTAAAGTAACTATTTTTAATGGTAAAAAAACAATTTTTCGTGGTACACGAACTATTTTTCATGGTTAAAAAACAATTTTTTGTGGTACACGAACTATTTTCGTGGTACACGAACTATTTTCGATGGTAAGCTAACTATTTTTAATGGTACCCGAACTATTTTCACGAACTTTCATAATAACAATTTTTTGTCGGTTTGATTTACAATTTTTTTCGGTCACTGCAATTTTAATCGTCTTTTTCGGTTAGATTTACCTCTCTTTTTCTTTGTGTGTATGCAGTACTAGGTTCAAGCGTAAAAAGATTCATCAAGCTACGTGGCTGTCTCCGGATCGAAAAACGAGAAACCAAATCGACCATGTTGTGATAGGCGGAAGGCATGCTTCCAGTGTTTTGGACGTACGTACACTCCGCGGCCCAAACATCGACTCGAACGGATCTTGTTGCAGCCAAAATACGCACCCGCCTCTGTGCAGAAAAAAGTGTGCGCCCAAATATGCAAGGAACGTCGAAACTCTGCAATCACAAGATACAGCCAGTGCATTCGCTACTCGACTCTCACATCTGCTCTCAGAGAGCACTCCGATATATGCGAGCAGTGAAACCACATTTCCCGCTTATTAAGTACCACCGCCGAAGAAGTAGACGGATTTCAGCGAGCTCGAAAGAACAACTGGTACGACGAGGACTGTCAGGAAGCTGCAGAGAAAAAAGATGCTGCCTACAGGGCCACGCTGCGATCGGGCGCAACGCGCGCCATGTGGGACCACTATAGGTATCTGAAGAGGGGAGCGAGACGTATTTGCCGCAATAAGAAGAGAGAGGCTGAAATACGTGAGTGCGAAGAGCTTGAAATGCTGGCCGACAGGAAGAATGCCCGAAAATTTTACCAGCTAGTTAGACTTACGGAAGGTTTCAAGACCAGGGCGTACTCCTGCAAGAACAACAATGGCGACCTAGTTACCGATTTTCTGAACGTACTTAAATTATGGAGGGAACACTTTTCCACGCGACTGAATGGTAGCAGCGCGGAAAGTTGTGGAGAAGAAGAACCCGAGCCCCCAGGCGATGATGACGGAGTCGCGGCTGAAAAACAACAAAGCTGCTGGAGCTAACACCCTGTCAGCTGAGCTATTCAAGTAAGGTGGCGAGGAGTTGATAAGGTGCATGCATCAACTCTTATGCAGAATATGCTCAGATGAACGCATTTCCGACGACTGGAATTTAAGTGTGCTCTGCCAAATCCACAGGAAAGGCGACCCCGCCATTCGCGCCAACTACCACGGGATCAGTCTTCTAAGCATAGGTTACAAGGTCTTATCGAGCATATTGTGTGAAAGACTGAAGCCCACCGTCAATGAACTGATTGGGCATTATCAGTGTGGCTTTAGGCCTGGAAAATCCGCCATAGACCAGGTATTCACAGTACGCCAAATCTTGGAAAAGACCCGCGAGAAAAGAATCGAAACTCACCACCTATTTGTCGACTTTGCTGGCTTATGCCGATAACATCGATATCACCTGTAACAAAAACCGCTAAGTCTGTTCTGCCTTTTCCAATTTGGATAAGGAAACAAAGCGAATGGGTCTGGTGGTAAACGAGGACAAGACGAAGTATCTCCAGTCAACAAACAAACAGTCAGCACATTCGCGCCTTGGCACCCACGTCACTGTTGACTAGGGCTGCCAGACGTCCCGGTTTTCCTAGACTATTTGTCCCGGTGTCCCGGTCCAATCTTAAAATGTCCTGGGTTTCGTTTAAGTGTCCCGGTTTTCGATTTGATTGCACAAATTTTGAATAAAAATGACTACACTGAGAGAAAAACGCGTTGTAATATTAAGAAAAATTTTATGAATTTACTGGGGGAAATAACGCATAGTAAACATGAATATTTTTTATTTGATTATCGTTTTAAAATTTTCGTATTAAAAAACAATACTTTCATACCACGCACACGTGGTGTTGAATCGAACTGAACATTTGAATGCACATTTACATGTCTGGCTGTAGCACATATCTGGAGTGCACGAAGATGCTTGCCACAAATTGCTAATTTCCAGAGCGTCAGGGTTCAAATCCCATTACAGGCAGCATGGAATTTAAATATTTTTTTTTAACTTAATTATGAAAAAGCACCCGTTAAGTGTAAAGCGCTTCATTTTAATATTGGCGTATTTGAATTGAATATTTCTATACTAAATACTAAAATTTGTATACTTAAATTTATTACGAGTTGGGTTGGTGCTCTTTCATATGCGAATTTTTTTTTAAATTAAGCACGTTTTGCACAAGCAAAAGTTGATGACTAATATAAGTATGTACCTAAATACGTTAAAATGACATGCACAGAGTTTTACAATTATATTAAGCAAAAGCCAGAAGTTTTGAAACAAGTTCACAAATGACTGATATTTTAATGTTACCTTGAATTTAATTTTTTCTTTGTTTACTTATAAGTACCGTGCCGTATAAAATTATTGGCTCGGAGACTTTTTCATCTGATCACAAATTTTGAAAATGTAGCTTTTGAGCCAATTAGTAAAGTGCAAGTATGAAGTTACCAGAAAATTTCGTTGATTTTTTGCAATTATTTATTTTTTGCTGACAGTGTCTTCCACATACAAAAAAATGTCGAACATAGTTTGTATGGAAGAAACTCTCAGTAAAAACAATACCAAAAATAAACTAAATTTTTATGGGCTGCAAAACTTCATTTTCAAAATTTTTATAAAAAAGTCTGAATAGAAAGTTGCGAATTTGTATGCAAATTTAAGCATTTTCCCGAGTTTTCCACAAAGTTTAGAAATTTTATTTTTATGTTTTCTGTTGTATTTAGTATAAACTGTATTTTTATAAGGTAAAAAAAAGGTACATGCATTGTGAAAAATGCTCTGTGCTTTAGTTGTGATAAATTGTTTTGTTTTGCTNGTCGACTTTTAAATCCGCTTTCGACAGCACTAAAAGGAGCTTCCTATACGCCGCTATGTCTGAATTTGGCATACCCGCCAAACGGGGCTTCAGACAGGGTGACTCTCCTTCATGTGACTTCTTTAATCTTATGTTGGAGAAGATAATAAGAGCGGTATAAAATGAAGCGCTCAGGAACAATTTACTAAAAGAGCGTGCAATTGCTGGCTTATGCCGATAACATCGATATCACCTGTAACAAAAACCGCTAAGTCTGTTCTGCCTTTTCCAATTTGGATAAGGAAACAAAGCGAATGGGTCTGGTGGTAAACGAGGACAAGACGAAGTATCTCCAGTCAACAAACAAACAGTCAGCACATTCGCGCCTNTGCAGAAGCATGGACAATGACAACATCCGAAGAGGCGGCTCTTGGAGTATTCGAGAGAAGGATTTTGCGGAAGATTTACAGGCCTTTACGCGTTGGCGATGGCGAGTACCGCAGACGATGGAACGATGAGCTTTACAACGACATGGACATAGTGCAGCGAATTAAAATACAGCGGCTCCGCTGTCTTGGTCATGTCTTTCGAATGGACACCGACGCTCCAGCTCTGAAAGTATTCAACTCGGAACCCGCTGGTGGTAGCAGAGGAAGAGGAAGGCCCCCACTGCGATGGAAAGATCAGGTGGAGAAGGACTTGGCTTCACTTGGCGTTTCCAACTAGCGTCAGTTGGCACAGAAGAGAAACGACTGGCGTGCTTTGCTGAACTCGGCCAAAATCGCTTAGGCGGTTACAGCGCCAAATAAGAAGAAGAAGAGGATGCAAAATGAACTATAAAAAGAAGGAGCTTCTCTTTATATAATTAGTGTCGGAAAAACAGGGCAACACCGATTTTGATGTGGCAAATGTTAAAGCTGTTTGTGATAGACTTTTTTGTGCTGATTACGAATCCGTAGGTGTTAAGTTTTCATCAGCTCCAGATTTTGAGAAAAACATGGTGAAAATGTCAAAAAATCGCGTTTTTTGCAGTGAAACAAAAGGTGATAGAACCTTCCACTTGGGCTTAAATTAAAGCTACAACTACAGACTATCCCTGAAAGTACCATTCCTGCACCTTGCCCTGATGGTCACCTATACTCATTTACTTTTTGTCGTCCAAACATAAAAAAAAAACTGGAATATTATGCAATTGAAAAAAAAATGGTCTAAAAATCAGTGCTAGCTGTTCAATAAATGACTATACGTGACCTTAGGGTCAAGGTGCAGTAATAGTATTTTCAGGGATTGAAGTTAGAATTCCAAGCCTTGATTTAAGCCTAAGTGGAAGGCACCTTTTGCTTAATTGCGATAGGTAGTCAAACCTCGCAAAATCAGTTTTTCCTGTTAAAAAAATGACTATAAGTGACCATCAAGCAGAGGTGTAGGAATTTTCAGGGATAATAGTAGAGATTTTTTGCTTTAATCTAAGCCTAAGTGCGAGGTTCTACCACCCTTTGTTTCTTTGCTAGAGCTTCTCAAATATTGAAAAAACGCGATTTTTTGACACTTTGGCATCGTTTTTCTTAAAATCTGGAGCTGATGGAAACTTTATGCTTACGTCAAAAATAGCGTTAACATTTGCTACATCAAATCTATACTAATATATATTTTGGAAGCCGTTTTTTCTGTTCGCAAAGCTCGAGATCGGCTGTACCGATTTTTTTGAAATTTCGGTTATAGGTTCTGGGTGGGCTTCTCATTGTCTTAGGCAAAAAAAAAGTTTAAATACTTCCGTAAAAATGGAACTGCAGGACTTTAAAAATCCTATAGAATCTAACATACATGCCCACATAACAGCGCTGCTCAACGCTGAGAGCGCCCTCTGCTGTTAATTCGTACGGAATACATCGCTAAGCAAGGGTTATGTATACATATAAATACATACGTGCTCATGTTAACGTTAATGTTTATTCTTATGTTAAATAAAAAATTATAGTTTAAAAAATTAAAAACCCGCTTTCCATAATTTCCATTCGTACTGTCATCAGGCATGTAACTTGAGAATGGAAATCGCTGCATCTTTTAGGCGCATTATATTACATAGTTTGTTGAGTCCATTTAAGCATTTACTCAAGTGTTAATTGCAGATGTTTACATGAGGGTTAAGTGTAGAGTCACCGCATAAGGATTAACCGTTTTGACACTTATTTTCTAATTTGTTATGCACCTGTTCTTGTAATATAATCTTTATTTTTATCAATCGTTATTACCGCTTACTAGTGACTGCATCGCTATTAATCGTTCCGCCCGCTACCGCTTAAGTGTATTTAAGTAATTTATATATACGAGTGTACATATGTACATTGAAATCGCTACTCGAATAGACATTGCATTTACTATACATATTTAATAAAGCAATATATTGAATTTTAAACGCACTTCATTTCCTTGTGTAATTGGAATAATTTTCATCAGTGAATATCCGCAACATACTGGTCCTTCGTTCCGGATTCGGTCGCTCCGCGCGCATAAATATGTATATTTTGTTCCCGTACATATGCACATACGTGATACGTACGCATAAGCGCAATTGAGTGAAATAATTTGTAAAAAACAAGTAAAATCCGCTGAAAAGCTAAAATAGCGCAATCCGCAAACTTAATATAGTTGAAACCCGCAATTAACTGCAATAAAGTTAAAAGAAACAATCATTGGTGCATTAAATCTTGTGAGCGTTTGCGCATTCGACCTACAGTTGACATTGCGAAAATTCTAGAAGTCCGCCGCGTCCTTCATTTGAACTCTGAAAGTCCTTATATTTTAATCTTGACTTACGAACGGCTCCTCAAAGGCAAACAGAAAAATGTCAAATTGCGTTAAAACGCGCGATTCCGCTCTCAATGCCATTAAACGCTATATGGCAAAAAGTGTAGATGACGCATTCACAATGGATGCGGAAAATATTACGAGCTACCTCCAGCTATTGGGTGAACAGTGGGCTCGTGCGATGTCAAAAGAGCTACGAGCGACAATGCCGAGGCAATCAAAGTTGTAATTGATGGGTTTCAGCAGCATATTCGCGAGCTTAAAGCGTTAGGTCATCCAGTTGAATTTTGGGACTACTGGTTGGTACATGAGGTCGTGAATAAATTGGCATTCGAGACGCGTAAGCAGTGGGAGCTATCACTCGTGAGTGATGAGCCTCCGTCATTCGAACAATTAGCCACATTTCTAGAGATACGATGTCGGTCGCTATCCATGCTTCCGCCATCAGTAAGTCAAGTCCAAAACCGCATCAGCAAGCAAATCGACAAACGTGTTCCATGCGGTACTGGAACAGAATAACGCGTGTGCTTATTGCAATGGACCTCACAAAATTTATGGTTGTGAAAAGTTTCGTGATCTGGACTTAAACGCAAAATCGAAATTCGTAAAGCTGGCGCGTGTATGTTTAAATTTCCTAAGCTCGGGACACTATAAAGATCGGTGTAACAGTGCTTCCACTTGCCGTGTGTGCTACCAACGTCATCACACGCTGTTGCATGGCGCTGTACCTTCAACAACCGTTACCGCAGATAGTAATTTTTCCAACAACGCACCGAAGAGAACCTACCGGGCGATGCATCGTTGAGTTGCCGTTGAAGCCCGATGTACCGCTAGGGGAATCGCGAAACCTCGCCGTCCAGAATTTACTANTCACGCTGTTGCATGGCGCTGTACCTTCAACAACCGTTACCGCAGATAGTAATTTTTCCAACAACGCACCGAAGAGAACCTCGCCGTCCAGAATTTACTACGCCTTGAAAGAAGACTCGCTTGCGACAGCGACCTACGTTTGCGCTACAACGAGTTTATGAAAGAACACATCGACATGAATCATATGCAGACCGCGTCAGAAACCTTGAATCAAACCTACTACATGCCGCACCATCCCATTATAAAGGAGAGTAGCATTACAACAAAACTGAGGGTTGTTTTCAACGCGTCCGCCAAATCGTCTTCCGGTAATTCGCTGAATGACGCCTTATTTGTCGGCCCTCAACTGCAACACAATTTGTACACGATTTTGATGCGCTTTAGAACGCACCGCTACGCAGTAACCGCAGATATCGCCAAAATGTATCGTCAAATCTGCATATCCTCAAAACATGCCGATCTGCAGCGCATCGTTTGGCGCAGCCATCCATCCTTGCCCATCCAAGATTTTCGCATGGTGCGTGTTACGTACGGAGTAGCAGCTGTATCTCACCTAGCTGTCCGATCGCTGCAACAGACGGCAAAATATTCATCGAATGGTTGTGCTAGAGCCGTTAATGTTATCCTAAAGGACTTTTATATGGATGACCTGCTAAGTGGTGCATCTAGTAAGGAGGAACTTCTGTTGCTGCAGCAAAGAGTGTCTGAAATATTGCGGGAAGGTGGATTTGAACTCCGAAAGTGGGTGTCGAACTGCGTGGAACTAAATGCAAGCATCTGTAATGCAGCTGAAACCATATCGCATTACATCGTCGACGATAAGGATGTCTATGCGTTAGGTCTGATCTGGAACACGGAGGCAGACTACTTTACATTCACTGTCAGCCTGAAGCAACCACCCGCTAGTTTGACCAAAAGAGCATTTTTATCAGACGCAAGCACGCTATTCGATCCGTTGGGACTGCTTGCGCCTGCAACTATAAAATCAAAGATGTGGTTCCAAGACATTTGGCGCACCAATGTAGGTTGGGATGACCTCATTCCTGATCCATCGCAACGAAATGGTTGGAGCATCAATTGCAGCAGCTCGCACACTTGAAGGTGGATCGCTGGCTCGGTACGGAAGTATCTGGGTCATCCACGCAACTGCACGTGTTTGCCGATGCGTCCGAGCGCGCATACGCTGCCGTTCTGTACGCGCGTACCTCACAAAGCGATGGTAGCATTATTGTCGCGTTGATATCGTCGAAGACCAAGGTGGCACCGCTTAAACCGACAACATTACCACGACTAGAGCTTTGCGCCGCGCATCTCGCTGCAAAACTGGCGCGAAGCATGCTACTCAGCTGGTCTGATCTCCATTACCCGCTGTTCACGTGGACTGACTCCGCCATCACGTTGGCTTGGCTGCAGGCGCATCCCAGCAGATGGATGACTTTTATTGCCAACCGCGTAGCCGACATTCAGGAAGTCCTGCCGCCTGAGTGTTGGAACCACGTCCTCTCCGAGCAGAACCCTGCAGATTGCGTTTCAAGGGATGTAACTCCCACCGAGTTACTACGTCATCAACTGTGGTGGGATGGTCCTGACTTCCTGAGAAGCACTGACCAATTTTGGAAGCAAAAATCATCTAAGCAGCACACGACAGAGTTGGGCATTCGAAGCAGGGTCCGCGCCCATGTGACTAGTTCCAGCGATCATTGGTCGGTAATAACGAAGTACTCGTCGTTTTCCAAACTTCGTCGTATCATTGCTTACGTTCTGCGCTTCTGCTTCAACGCTCGAGCTGACAGACGTCTCGGCGTTACAAAGCGGTTTGGTCCTCCGAGTTGCAACGAGTTGTCTGAAGCTGAACTTCACCTAGTCGGGTATACGCAACAGCATTATTTGTCTAATGAGATTTCTGTTTGTCAGTTGTCTTTTGCGTTTGAAGCCGTTCCTCGATGTGAACAACGTTCTGCGTGTTGGAGGCAGATTAAAAAATGCACAAGTCACGCCTGACGTAAGGCATCCCATTATCCTGCCGAAGAACTGTCCGCTCGCTAAGCTAATAGTCTGCGAAATACACAAACTTACCTTGTACCCGAATTATGCAGACTGTTTTACAACGCCGTTATTGGGTTGTCGGCGCTCGCAGCCTGGTCCGCAACGTATATCGCAAGTGTGTGAAGTGCACTTGCTTGAACCGAAATCCTGCCGCGCAGGTCATGGGTCACCTACCTGCTACTCGCACAACCTACGCTCGTTGTTTCACCCGCACCGCTGTCGATTTCGCTGGGCCTTACATGTACAAGTTTACCCACGGAAGAGGAGCTAAGGCCACTAAGGGCTATATCTGTTCGTTCGTTTGTATGTGTACAGGTGCGATGCATCTCGAATTTGTTGGTGACCTGTCAACGCCAGCGTTCCTTAACGCGTTTAAAAGGTTCACAAATCGCAGAGGCTTTTGCAAAGTCATGGCATCAGACAATACAGACATACAATAACAGAAGTAGAAGCTTGCATGAACTCCCGCCTGCTATGTGACATTTCCTCAGAAGCTGGTGACCTAGAAGTCTTTACGCCTGGGCATTTCATTGTGGGTGAGCCGCTGAAGTCAATCACAGAATCTGAGGGTCAAGGGTTCTGTGGAAATCTTCGTCAGCGATGGCAAGCGATTTCTGCCCTGAGACAACATTTCTGGCGCCGATGGAGGGATGAATATTTGGTAAGCCTACAACTACGCTCCAAATGGTTTCGTTCTTCGCGCAACATTGAGGAATGGATGTGGTCGCCGTTTTCAGCGAGCCTACTCCTCCGATGAAGTGGACGCTTGCACGAGTCGTAAAATGCCATCCTGGAGCTGATGGACATGTGCGCGTAGTTACTTTGAAAACACCGCATGGAGAATTGGTCCGGCCAATAGTTAAGCTGTGCCTTCTTCCAACAAAAGAAGATCTGTTTTGCGAGGAAAACTAACCAACTACTTTTTTATGATACTATTTGAATTTTTGAATTTGAAGTCTAACTTTAACGGCATCCTAAATTTTGTATTGAACATATCAAGGTAGCTCAAGGGCGGCGGTATGTTGAGTCCATTTAAGCATTTACTCAAGTGCTAATTGCAGATGTTTACATAAGGGTTAAGTGTAGAATCACCGCATAAGGGTTAATCGTTTTGACACTTATTTTTCTAATTTGTTATGCACCTGTTCTTGTAATATAATCTTTATTTTTATCAATCGTTATTACCGCTTACTAGTGACTGCATCGCTATTAATCGTTCCACCCGCTACCGCTTAAGTGTATTTAAGTAATTTATATATACGAGTGTACATATGTACATTGAAATCGCTACTCGAATAGACATTGCATTTACTATACGTATTTAATAAAGCAATATATTGAATTTTAAACGCACTTCATTTCCTTGTATAATTGGAATAATTTTCATCAGTGAATATCCGCAACATAGTTACATCCCAAGCTAATAAAAGCGAAGTAAAAAACAAATATGTACATAAGTACAGTTCATGGAGAAATAATCTAGGCAATTATGTATGTAGAGTCGTTTATGTTGCCACAAGGAGCAACTAACATTGCTGTTAGCACTTACATTTGTATGTGCATATTTATGTATATGTGTACATATGTGTGTATATAATTACGCATAAAAACCCTGCTGCATTGTTTTTTTTTGTACGTAAGTGAGCGCAATATGAAAACTCTCTCAACTCTTATCCATCTATGTATATCGCAAAGCTCGAAAACGGCTGAACCGATTTTTTTTGAAGTTTCGGACACCTGCTGCAGACGTTCGAAGGATCCGATAACCATCCTAACAAAAATCTCGATATATAAAAGGAGCGTGGAACCTCCCCTACAAACCGAATTTTTCATACTCCATATCTCTGGAAATGTTCATGGTAGAGTTCTGGAACTTGGTATGGAGATATATGAAATCCATCGCATACTCTTGTAGAAAAAGTGGAGCTATCGGAAAAGGGGGCGTGGCACCTCCCATACAAACCGAATATTCATACTGCATATCTCAGGAAGTGTTCTTGGTAGAGTTATGGAACTTTGTATTGGCGCACATGAAATCGGACCCATAATCTTGCAGAAAAATTGGACCTATTGGAAAAGGGGCCGTGGCACCTCCCTTTCAAATCGAATTTTTCATACTGCATATCTCTGGAAGTATTTATGGTAGAGTATTGGAACTTGGTATGGAGATATATGAAATCAATCCCATACTCTTGGATAGAAACTGGAGGTACATACATAAAATCAATCGCATACTCTTGCAGAAAATTATATCTAATGGAAAAGAGGGCGTGGTACCTCCCATACAACACGAATATTTCATACTGCATATTTCTGGAAGCGTTCATGGTAAAATTTTTGAACTTTGTACGGAAATATATGAAATCAATCACATACTCATAGAGAAAAATTGAAGTTATTGGAAAAAGGCGTGGCACCTCCTATACAAACCGAAATTGTCGTACTGTATATCTCTGGAAATGTTCATGGTAGAGTACTGGAACTTGGTATGGAGATATATGAAATCGTTCGCATACTCATGAAGAAACATTTGGACTATTTGAAAAGGGGGCATGGCACCTCCCTTACAAACCGAACTTTTCATAATAAGTATCTCTGGAAGTGTTCATGGTAGAGTACTGGAACTTGGTATGGAGATATATGAAATCGTTCGCATACTCATGAAGAAACATTTGGACTATTTGAAAAGGGGGCATGGCACCTCCCTTACAAACCGAACTTTTCATAATAAGTATCTCTGGAAGTGTTCATGGTAGAGTACTGGAACTTTGTACGGGCGTGGCACCTCCCATACAAGTCGAATTTTTCTTATTGCATATCTCTAGAATTGTTCTTGGTAGAGTACTGGAACGCTTCGTATGGAGATATATGAAATTCGTTGCGCCCTCAGCCTGCTCATTGAGCACAATTCACCCGCGTATAGAAATAGGCAAAAAGCTCGCTTACCCAGAACCCGCTGCTTGTTAGGCTTCCCGGTTATTTGGGGCTTCGTGCTAATATAACACCGGTAGCTGTGCTGGTCTACGCTCTGCTGTACAGTGGAGTTCCTTCAGGCTGCTCCGATTGATGTTGCTCCTTTTAAAATAATTTAAAAATCTGCTCGATGGCAGGAACACTCGCGAAAACTACTTTCGAGTAAAAGGCAAACGTTTTTAGAAATTTATGGCAAGTTTTATTTAGTTAGCTTTAGGTTTTTATTTTTTTTTTTACAATTTGGCACGACCGAAATGCGTATATCTAATTAAAATTAATATTAGTTTTTCACTCGGTTTTATGTACCTGTGGAACGTATGTTCCAACAGGGCTACCAACATTACGACAGCGCTGAATTTTTTGAATTTTAACCATGGTGATTGTTGTTTGTTTAAATTTCAAAGTGGTACATAAAGAAACCGGGTTTGCTTTTCCATTATATTATTATCCTTTTCTTCTAAAAATTATTGAACATTGAAAAAAAAATAATTCCAAATTTTTTTTTTTTAATATTTTTTTCAAAAGTAAACTAGCTCATCTTAGAACGGCAAAAAAACGCCAAATTTTGACATAAAGCCTAGTCGTTTATCTTCGAGTTTGGAGGGGTGCTTCTCTAACTTTAGCAAAACACCTTATATCTAAAAAAATTCCAGAGCGACAAAACTATTTTTTCCACAACTAATTAACGGCAAAAAACGGCAAATTCATGGGTATATGCGACATATTTTGCTTGATGTTGTTTCGCTAACTTTATGCACATAAATTAATCGCATACTCATTGAGAAAAATGGCCTCTTTGAAAAGAGGGCGTGGAAAGGTACAAATATACTGGCTTTTACTTATCTTTGAATGTGTATATAATTCTTCTGTAGGTATATTNATTAATCCCATACTCATTGAGAAAAATGGCCTCTTTGAAAAGAGGGCGTGGAAAGGTACAAATATACTGGCTTTTACTTATCTTTGAATGTGTATATAATTCTTCTGTAGGTATATTTGTGAGTGAAATCCTAAATGGCTGGACGGATTTTAACAAAGTTTTGTGTGTTTGTTTGAGTAGGTGTCTGGATAATTTAGTTT